ACACACACACACACACACACACACACACACACACACACACACACACACACACACACACACACACACACACACACACACACCGAACACAAGTCGGTTACCAGCCAGTGACCTAGCAAATACGCAGGTGTGGCAGGCTGTACGAGTTCGCATACCCACACAAACGAGTAGAAGAGGTCGTACGGAGCACATAATTCGCAGGGGAATGAGTCATCGAGCGGTCGAGTAGTATCCAACACCTCCAAAGCTTGAAGTGTAACGCATACACACAGTCGGGAAGGTTCTTTAAACAAACACCGTGAGAGACAGACACTCCAACATCCTTTGAGTCACAAAAAGTGAAGAAATTGCGAACGTGAGGCGCATGAAGGCACTGCTGGCAAGCAGATGTCCACTTGGCTGGGTGTGATAAGGCCTTATGGGGTCAACTCCGGCTGGTCGCTAACTCAGCAAACGGGAGCAATGTTCTCACTTGTCTAGGTGTTTATCTTTAAAGTGTAGACAACACAAGTTGTCATTTGTTATTAGTTTGGAATCATTTACATTTAAGGGGAGTGAATACTGACCTAAGACAGGGTGGGGAAATGGTGGATTATCGCCGGTGGCCATAAGCACTCACGAAATAATTAAGGGTAAATTTGGTAAATTGCATTGACCCTTTTGACAATACTTAAGGCACGAGATTTACAGAGTTCATAATGAGTTGTTTAAACGACGTCTACCTTACCGTGTAGGGTCATGCAAACAGCGACCGTTGCCTAACAACATAACTGCACGTGGGAACACGACTTGACTAAAAGAAGTAAACACGGACACATCGTGTGGGCTGAGTACTTGCACGATACCTTTGCTTGTAGTAAGGTATTTGACATTGTAACCGCTTGAGTGTGGCATTTAGAACAGCAGAAAACAGGGCAGCTTGAGCAAACAGTGAAAGTTAGTTGGTCATGGCAATGGGCAGCTCATGTAGGTGTCGTGACATGATCGAGCATACTACGGGGATGACCTGAACAGACCACAGGACTGCCCCGTTATCCGCGGATACTTTAGACCAATCCCGACATTCTAGGTTAACAATCAACACATATACCAAATTAAATCCAACACTAGTGAATACAGAATTGTTGTGATACGTGTTGATTCACACTCGTTAATTCGATCACTAAAGCCTTCGATGCAATGTCCCCCTTTTTGCAGCATGTCGTCAGCCGCGCGGATCCTCAACTCCCCCCTCATTACCGCGTACGATTACCATCGATTATCCCCACACCTAGGTCTCGATGTTAGCCCATCCATCTAAGTTATAAATACACGCGCAAACGCCAACCACGAGCTCTGAAGTAAATGGTTGTGCCCACGTCCTCTCCGGTCTTTTTCTTCACCGCGGGCATCAGGGAAGCGGAATCGGGTCAGAGTTAATTCAGTGATTCAGGCGTGGTTCAAGACCACATGCTGGGACCCACAACAGACCCAACAGTAAACAGCCCGGTTCGCATTGATTGACAGGAGATTTTGGCATTTTTTGTTAAATCTCTTATCACTAGTGCATAATTTCCCCAACTTTTATCGGCCTCTTAAATATGACCGGCAAATATTTCTTTCAAAAGCACGAGAAAGCCGATCTTCGAGAATATGAGATGACTTAAACAAAACACAAAACGCTTTAACGACGTCATGGCTGAGCTTTAAAAACCGACCAATCAGTGAGCAAGCAATCATTCGGGGGTATAGAAGCGCGACGCGACTAGACTGGACAGGAAGACGAACCCAATGCCATACGAGATTTGCCTTCAAGGTATGTACCTGAGCATGTAGTTGCAAAACAGCTCTCACCTTCACGTAAACTAGTATTCACGAAGTCCTGCAATTTGATTTCGAGGCCAATAGACCTTCGAAGATTCGCAAGGGAATGCACTAATATAGAGACAAGTTGAGGGCCATGCTTTTTGTACTTTTGTGCGTCAGAGTTTTTTGTATAAAAAAAGGGTTAACGGGTGTGAGTTCGGTTGAAACCACCTCACAAACGGAAAAAAAGTTTGAGCGAGGTGAACTTTGATCACTCTGCCATTTCCAAAGTATGAAAAGGTGATTTGGGTTGGGTTTCAGTAGAATGCAGAATTTGCTAAGTAAATGGTCAAAACTGTTGTGAAGCATCATCAAACACAAACGGCGGGTTCAGGATCTAAATGGCCCTGTCCTAGTTATCAGCCAGACAATGACTCAAATCAGTGCAGTGTGTTCAGCTGTGACAGACGAAGGGCTTCCAGTATGCAAGAAGTTGGCGATTCTTTCACGCATAGCACCCAGACGATGGGACTTCTCAGAAGTGTGTGTCAGTACGGTCAAGCAAACCAACACGGCGATATGAACATCCAAATCTGGTGCTTTGATCAGAACAGAGAAAAGGCAAAAACCACAACTGATTCGGTCAAGATACGTGGGTATCTTGAAAAACAGGAAAAAATTGTAAAACAAGCAGAAGTGAATTCATTTTCACAGTTGTCTTCAGAGAGGAGGTTTCATAGCGACACTCCCTCTCCTCACTCCCACTCTAATCTCCTCCCTACGCTCTAGACCATTTGCCTTTGCGCATGATGGTCTGATGCATGTCTGGTAGTTAATCCTGCTGGTGTGCCAACCCCAGAGTAATCGAATGGTAGGCACATTACAACGAGATATAAACATATGATGACATAACTAAAAGAATGCATACCTTGTGCGAGATTTTGTAGATTTTGTTCCAGGGAAGACTGCTAACATGAGCAATCCGTTTACCGTCGTCCTCCTAAAGCCCAAAGTACAAACACGCATAAGTCTGAGGTGAGCACACGCCTGTGTAAACAAATGGAGGGCCTTAGCAAATCCTAGTAGTCAATAAAAGGGCAATGCAACTGGCACTGTACTTCCACCGAGATTATTAACAATTTGAACTCCCGAGAACTTATAGTACCATTTAGCTTCGCCTTTTAATGTTAGTTACTTGTACATTTGTTTAACTAAACCATAAAGCAGGCGTGCAAGCCATTTAAACCACCAACCGAAGAACACAGGCAGCCAACAGCCCCAAAAGACACACTCAGGATAGACTTAGAGGACAGAAACATGTGCCATTTAAGGTCAAAATAAATACACTTACCTCATGAAATTCAAAGCCATTGGGCCCGATTCCCAACCAGAACGAGCCCTTTCCGGAGGGAAGGATGAGGCTTGATCGACCACTATGAGATCGCCTCAGGCGGCTGGAATGCTTCAACGTGGACACAGACACGGTAAGTCTAAAACTGGAGGTACTGACATCAAGAGGTGACACGCGATAGAGGTGTAGGTTGAAGTTAGATGAGGACTCAGATGCTAGGCGTATAAAACGCCACTGGAGGATCTCACGAACCTGGCCGGAAAGGGGCGCGATGAGGTTGGGGATGTTTGCGTAGAGGTAGTCCTTTCCGTAACTGTCAATCATCTAGGGAGAAAATAAATAATGCTTTGTCCTACTATTAAACGTTTCGGTCGATAAAATTTCACCAGATACATTGATGGAGCTATGGTGGTAACAGTTTTGATGCTAAAGGTCAAATTCGAGTTATAAATCATGACTGGGGCAGCAAGCATTCAAGCACAATTATTAATAAGATATCCAAACCGTTTAGTTTTTGAGAAAAATCTTATCTATGAGATTGCTTTCATGAATGCGAATTCATTTTAATGGCATAAGTGCTATAAAGTATTAATTAAGTGATGAATTTAGCTTCTGCAAGGAAATTGACTAACATCAGGAAGGCAACGTTTGTATCAGATGAACAACCAAGTTAAATGTTAGTATAATGGATGAGTTCAAATAATACCATACATAATTTTTCCTTATAACTAACATGGAATCGATTGTTAGAAGACAGCATTAGGCACACGAAAATGGGGTTGAGAAAAAATATTCCGGGCAATCATAGAATGTCGTTTATGAAGTAAACGGCAAGTAGGCACCCTAAAACGTACCGAACGAGGGAAATAGTTGTTCAGTTTAAAGTTACTTTCATCAAACTTATAGTCGGAAGGACGTTTTGCCAGCAGGTCCATTTTGATTGAAAATGCAGCAAGTTGAAAGTAAACTTCGTCACTGCATAATAATCTGTACGTCTGGCTATTGAGCTTCAACTGCTCGTAGTAAAGGTGTCGCACCAGTCTTCCCCGTAAACAATGATTGGGCACGTAGAAACGAACACGAAAGTAAAAAAGAAGTGGTTCATCAACACCGTTTTCGGAGATGCTGGCAGCTTTAGCCACTGAATACTTATGCTTGCTATGGGAATTAATGAAGCTCTAAAACCATGACATGTTAAGAACACATTAACAAAGAAAGTGCGTTGAGTTTATTGCATTAAGAAATGGAAATACCAGATGAGAATTCTAGGATTTTGATCGTTTTTGGTAAAACCATTTGAGTCATTTAGGACGTTTCAATTAACCTGAATAAAAAAGTAATTTCTTAACAGATCTAGATAGATTCTGAGGAATTTCTGGATACAGGAAAAAAAGAACTTATAAAGCATAGTGATTTTCGCGCCTGAATATCTGAAGCAGCCACAAATTTTGAAAATGTGTTTGTTCCCAAAGGCCTGTATTAATAACACGAAAAGATAACCAACGTGAGGCTATCGCTGATTTCATTAAAACCTAGCAGAAGTCATACTTCGCATCTCAGCCGATGTATTAATAATTGCTCTTTTAATCTAAGTAGCAAAATTGCCCTTTAGAGATTTAGCAGATACTAGTATGACCAACAAGTGTTAAATTAAGAATATTTCAAATTTACGAAATCAAAAGGCTAGGAAAAGGATATTGTTTAAATCCAACAAATATTAAACTGACCAGACGTGTAGGGAAATTCTTCTTTTCGAAAGTGGATAATCGAACATCAGGATCAAGAAACATGAATCCAATTTCTATACATTACATAATATATAACCACATTACCTGAATGCTTTGCAAGGCCAAAAAGTTTTGATTCGGGAATCCCAAGATAATCACACACTTCAGAATAAATGCAAGCAACGGTCCAATTTCGCTCAGCAGTTAAATTAATATGGTCACGATTTAGCAAATCAACCCGTACAAGAATACGACTACGTATAAAATGACGAGTTTGAACAGCCATAACGCATTGCGACACCGATCAATGGATGAAAAAACACAAAACAGTTACAAATAAAGCGAGTTTAACGTAGAAGCATGAATTAAAAAAGGCCGCCCAATCTACTTAAATTATAGTTAGTGCAATGAAACGTCAACGTCAAGGCTAGTTTAAAAATTTTAGGTTCTTAAGAATAAAGTATACAACAAGTTAATAATATTAAACATTACTTTTCTAACAAAAGCAGACCCTAGTTAACGTATCCTTCAAAGAAGACATTTTCGTGGCCAGTTCTTAGTATAATTTTTCTGAGTAAGAGTTAACATAAACTTTAAAAATTAAATAAATAATACAACATTTGACACTTTTCAAAATGAAAATGAATTTCGCCACCTAAGATCTGCAGATGAAACAATTTTCCCGAAGTCAAATAATTGATTTTTTAAGGAACGGTATAAAGGATGAGGTTGTTTTTATTTTCAATCCTGCAAAGTTAGTGAATGATTGAGTTAAATAAATGTTACTTCGTTGTTTAGGGATGGTTCAAGTAAGTGTAATGATATTCCAGGCGTCCATTACAGGAATAAAATTTTAAACTAAATAAATTTAATGATGAATTTTTTTTATTTAAAACCAATAAATTCAGAACAAATTTTCTATCTCTTCATATTTAAGTATACAGTTATATGCGCCAATAAAATTTTGCACAATATCGTTTCCTGGTATTTGTTCTTCACTTCTTTACATTGTAACGTATCAACATAAAAAATCTATAAAATTTTTATGAAACAAATATGGCGCAACATAGCTTATGAATGCAGCTTGTTAATTTCGACTTATCAGAACACAGGATAATTTATGAATATTTCAATTTGCATCGTTTGAATCGCTCTTGAAAGCTGCGCGCGGTTATTGTTCGTTAACCTAAAAGTTTGGCTTGTTTCGTCGGGTTAGCTGCCGAGATACGTCTGTTTTGGTAAGTTGAACTCTAATGCTTTTTTGTGTGTTCTCCCTTTTTAAGTTTGGATTTTCTTTTTGCGCCTCTTTCTGTGGCTAATTTTTCTGTTGGAATGGTATCATGTACAGTTTTTAATCAAACGCCATCATATATTTTAATGTCATGTCCATGAGGGTTTTTAAATGCCGTTTGAAGCAATAACTGATTTTAAGAATGTTTAAAAAAACAAGTGCATTCAATAATTAAGTCCTAAAGTCTTCCTTTTGCAATTGCCCTATAGTATTTTCAAGATATATGTCAAAGTTTCTTATCGTAGGGAAGAATATGAATATCTCTGTCCTGAACATTATCGAATGGGCCTAATCTGCAACAACTCATGGAACCACAAATATTTTTAGTCGCCTGCTTAAATATAATTAGGAATTTCCTTTTTTTATTTGTATGGGCACCAGTCTAAATATAAGGTTCACCAATCCGTATAAGTAATTACAATTGAAAATTAGATTGATTATTTTGTTAGCCCATTTTTTGTTTGTAGTATTGTCTATTTTATTTTTTTGCTGACGTCTACAGACATTTGTCAATGGTCAGTTTCCCTATTTAAATCATTAACCCCCAGAAAATTAAGAATGCCTTTCTGTTAGTGGTTGTGGGTTTTTCCTTTAATGTTCTTTGGATGTGCATTTTTTTCGTAAATACAATACCTGAGATGTTAATGCATTGTCCCTAGACATGCTTTCTCAACATAACGGAATCAAGTAACTAGTAAAATGTATCGATTTGAGCTATCTGAATTTGGGATAAGTAACATGGCCATATAATATGGGTTTCATCAGCGCTTGAGTCTCTCGAAACTTTTGTGGTGGTTGTTATGACTGATATGTCATTTAGTGTGTACTGATACAGTCTCACTTTAAAAGCGCCTCCTACATGTTAGGTTCAGTCTTCAGAAATAACGTTGCTAAATATTGCTTCTTTCGTATTTTTTTGTAACTTTTTTTCCGAGTTTAAGCTTAATTTTCTGGTTCTCACTCACTGGGGCTCTGTTTAGCGCCACAAATATCTTGCTTTGCACGCGGAACGAATATGAGACGTTTAAAGTACACTGCTTTTCTGTATTTCACTTTGTCAGCTTTCTGAATGGATGTACAGCGTTTCACCACCCTCGACACTACGGACACCGGTCAGACTGCACAGGTGGCCACAGTTAGTCGCACATACTCACCTCCTCCTCCCTCTCTCGACTCGTTTGCACCGCCCGTCGTTGCTGAATACTGGTGCCACACCCAAGTTCGAGTTATAAAACTGCGATACACCTGGACCATCAGTAATTTCTCCTTTTGTCGGGAGGAACTGGGCGAGGTTGTAAAGAGCAGTGTCTTCTCCTCAGGACCAAATGACAAACTCAAATGGTAAACTACTTCGTTTGCCGCACACCACTTCAACAGGTGGCGTTTCAGTTCAAGAAGCATGAAGTGAGAACTGTGCAGTAGGGTGGGACTTAGCTTTGAAGAATTTCCAGATATTTTAAATGACCACTTACTTTGGTGGTAAGTTTACCTGGGCGGTCGTGGGTGCTCACACTTTTGTGCCCTCCGTGGGCACTGACCTTTGACAATTACAAACACTTGCTGGTTACTTTTTTTAAGTAATCATGCCTGGATTTCGTCGAGGTAAATCCTTGTAAACCTCGACAAACTACTAAGGATTTGATTGCCCTCTTTTTGAAGTCCGATCGTCGTTGGGTCGTCTTTCCTAGACTAACTAACAGCTGATTTTCGTGCTGTAAAACACTGATTATGGTTAATTTTGTTTTCGGCCACTTCTACCCGCATTTTATGCACTTCAGGTGCCTGCGAATAAACCCCAAGGGCTTGGATGAGGAGAGTCGTGAGTACCTTTCTCTCTACCTTCTGCTCATGAACTGCGGCTCAAAAGGCGAGGCTCGGGCCAAGTTCAAATTCTCCATCTTAAATGCCAAGCGAGAGGAGACCAAAGCCATGGGTGGGTGTGTGTGTGTGTGCTTGCTTGGCTTTTAATGTGCCTTGTCCGCTTGACACCCTACTCTGGTGTTTTTTGCCCTCCACAGAAAGCCAGCGTGCCTATCGGTTTGTGCAGGGAAAGGATTGGGGCTTCAAGAAGTTCATCCGGCGAGACGTCCTCATGGATGAGTCCAGTGGATTGCTCCCGAATGACCGTCTCACGATTGTGTGCGAGGTGCGCTTTATTTTGTGGCTGCTTTTGCACTTGTAAATCTCTAAGGTTAACCTAAATGAAGATATGCGGGTGCTAAATTCTCACTAATCACGTGTGCCAACTTTCGGGCGGAATCAGTTAAGCCGTTCGTGCACGACTTAGCATCTTGGTAATCTGCGCTACAAGTTTCCGTTGACTTGAAGGGGGTTGGGTGTAACACTTCGTGTCATTTCCAACTTTCTGGATTCTAAACCCAGCACGATCACTATCTTATGCTCATCTGCACCCACGGTAACTCAAAATCAACGACTTTACAAATGCCTTGATTTCTGAGTGTTTCATTTCTGCTCCGTTTGGTCGCATTTCGCTAAAAATCCTGGAGTATCTTTGTGGAATAATTCCTCTCGTTTTGCTTTTCATGTTTGATGCGGCCTAACAAGCAGGCAGTGATTCGTTTTAAGGGTTTTTACATGTTTTGCTTTCCGTCTTCCTCGCAGTCCATTTGCTTTGCTGTTTGTCTAATGTTTCATTTCATGTCCAGTTGTTTAGCACCGAAAATAACAGATCCTTGGTTTATTGAGCGTGGGCTAATTTTCGCCGAAACGGCTTCTTTAGATTTCAGTCGTTGGCGAGACCCTCTCGGACAGCGGTCAAATAAGCAGCCAGCCGGTCACCATACCCGAGTGTCGTCTCCACGAGGATCTTGGCTCCCTCTTTCTCAAACAACTTCTTACTGATGTGACCTTGGTCGTTGTGTCTCCGTCATCTTCTCCGTCGCAGCAGCAACACGGATTGTGCCAACGGGAAAAACTCCTCGACAGCCCCCCGCGTTCCGAGGGGCAAATTGGGGCGGAGGAGGAGGGGGATTCAGACGAGGGCAAGGAGGATCCCAAGACTCCTGTAGCTTCAGTCGGAAAGGACGGAGACGAGGAGGAGGAGGGGGAGGGTAGGGAACAAGGGGAGTCCTACCTCGAGGGGGACAGTGAAGCTAGCGTCTCATCCCTGCCCCGCATAATCCTCCGTGTTCCACAACAGCAGCAGCAGCAGCAGCCAAACAGGCCACCCTCGGAATCCTATCATCATCAGGCTAATTTATCAGTCAGTGACAGTAACGAAGTTGCCACGATCCGCCCAGTGACATCGCCATCACATCCGTTGTCCAACCGAGCCTGCTCCGTTTGTTCGTCATGTTCCCTGCAAAACATCGAACACAAGCATCGACATTCTTCGACCCCAACGTACTCCGCTTCCTCCTCCTCACCTGCTCCTCCGCTTCAGTTAGACGGTACTTGCATTTCCTCCGATGGTGAGTTATTGTTCTGGTTCCTTGATCAGCAACTAACCAGGACGGAATCGTTCAAAGTAAAAGCCCCCTCCTGCTTTTTGATTACTGAGTGCTCTTGGCTAGCGACTGAGTTACTGGAGATCCGCAGGGTGACGCACACACACACGCTCATAGCCTCTTCCAGTGTCACGTGACGTGGAAGTTTTTGCTGCTGCACCTCAGGCTCATTTCAGGCAGCTTGTTTGACCTGACTTCATTGCTATGTTTCCCCGCTTCTTGTTTGAGAAATCGCGTTGAACCGGTTAGTGTAGCAGTCGTGTTCGCTTTTCACATTGCTTCTAATGGCTGCACCTTAAACTTCCGACGCTGGCGCAATAAAGCCACTTGGCACTACAACAGTTGAAAGCGGTTAGACTTTTGCGCAGCCGCTACTTTCACTTAAATCCATAAACTACCACGACGCTCGTGAAACCATGTTTTTTTTTGAAAAAAAAATTAGATTTGCTTGTTGACAATGAACAAAATGTAGTGCGTCCTACGCGTTTTAGTACTCGTCCTGCATGTTTAAGTACGAAGCAAGCCAAAAACTTTTCTTCCAAAGTTTGAATCTACCTTTAGACACTTGATCATATTTCATCGCGTAGAGCTACCGTTTTGTAAAGCTTTTGCAACTTCACTTTGACCTCACCTAATTTTTATCAATCGATTTGACAAATCAGTTGACCCAAACTCGGCAATATCCGTCCGATGTCACGACAGTTCGGAATTTGTACAAGGTAGCCCTGCCTGAACTTTGACCTAACGTGTGTATTTTGGTTAAACAGGGTTAGTACAATTGTGACCAGTCACTTCGCTCGGTAAGCTCGTGTTGTTGTTACGCTCATTTATTTTCTAAAATATGGGCTCTTTTTTAGACTGCCTGGTTGGAAAAAGTGTGCCATAGTACAGGACTGGGAGGTCTTGCTGTGAAAGGTTCTCAACTATGTGGGGTGTTTGGCCGATTCATGTGAACGCTTTTCACTCACAAAACTCTGGTTTTGTGTCTGCATTCCTCTGTTCTTTTCTATTGTGGTTTAGTGCCGTTAAGACTCGATCGAACATCGATCCAAACATGAATTGTTGGCTTTGTAAAGACTTATTGATTTTAGCGGTGTTCCACCGCGAGATCAATTTCACAAACCTCCTCCATTTCCTTGTAGAGACCGGTTACCAATCCGTGAGGATGGAGACCGGTCAGACGCCGCCTCCAGCCTGTCCGAACATCGTCTCCACGACCGCGTCCGTTCAGCTCTCCTCGACCTCCGCGTCATCCCACTCCACCCTCCGCTCCTCAGCCGTGGTTGGCAGTAGTTCTGGCACCCCGGTTTACAAGCCACCACCCCCACCTGCCCTCCAGATCTTCCCGCCCCCTCCGCCCTCTGTGTCAGTCAGTGTCAGCAGCGACGGTTTCGTGCTGCGTCAGTTCAAGGCTCACAAGGCCATTCTGGCGGCGCGCAGCCCGGTGTTTGCGGCCATGTTCGAGCACGGCATGACCGAGTCCCGCGCCAACCGCGTGCACATCACCGACGTCGAGCCGGACACCTTGGCTGAGGTGTTGCGGTTCATCTACACCGGCCAGGTTGTCGGCCTGGATAATCCCGTTACAGCCCAGGAACTTCTTGCCGCTGCTGACAAGGTTCGTGTAGATGTTTTAACTCATGCGTTTTTTGCGTAGATTCCTCTTTGGGAGCAAAACATACCACAAATGAGGGTGTCACGCATTACTAGGGCGATTTCCCATGCAATTGCCTCAACAGCTTAGCATTTACAAACCAACCACTCCGTTTAATGCCTCTCGGCCGGGCCTTTACGCATTGTCTGCTGGCGATTTCCTGTTTTGACTGTCAGCCCACACGTTTTATGTGTGCGTAGCTTTGCGCCGCGGGCTGTGGATGTTAATTGCGGGCATTGGTCTTCGCGTTTTCGCAGTTCCCAATGCAATGATTTCCTCCGTCTTGCCTAATTGCTACAGCAACACGTGTGTGGCGACACACGCCAACAGCCAAAGTGGCCTGGCGTTTGTGGCGACCGCCGGCTATTTAACCATTGCCATTCCGTCGGTGTTGGTGCAAGGGGCCGGTGGGGTGGCAATCTTATCTGTATCGATTGTGAATTGGCAGTCGACCATCAGTTAGCGTCGTTAACAATCTTATGCAAGTGCTGTGGGATTTGTTGAACAGCGAATCTCCCTAGTTTTCAAGTGCATAATTGAGTCGCCTCTTTGTGAGTGTTGCATTTTCTCCCCGAATGCATTCCACAAACGCATTACCACGCAGGACCTGGGAAATTTGTGCTTTCCTTGCTCCGTAGTGGGACTCGGGGTGAACAAGAAGCTCGGAGACAATGAACACTTGATCGTTTATTGTGTGGTCGAAATAAAATGCCTTAGTGTACGGCCTCTGTTAATAAGCTATGGTTTTGGGTTGAATTGAGCAGTTGTGGGTCGGCGTGTAAAGTTTAGAGTGTGATTGATAAAGCAGAGACGCGTAGGCGAGGCTATGTGTACGCCTAAACAACCCGCAACACAGTCAGATTGCCAGTGAGAGTGCTGCTTGACTTGACTGGTGCCACACTATTCAATCGGTGTGTTGTTTGAAAGACTTGGTTTTGGGGACTGGCGATCGATCGACAAACCCTGAGTGTGAGGCGAGCACAAAGGGCTGCAATTTCAGCCTTCAAAAATTCGTCCTTTTTGCGATTTAATTCCAGGTCTGTTGCATTGGTGGTGGAGCTTGAGCGGATTAATCCACGAGGTGTCTTTGTTGTCACCGTTCTCTCGTGATTTTGCGAGGCAATCATGTGTTTTTTTGCCTTCCCCTAATGCTCGTGGTGTTATTCCTTTGTCCCCCTAGTACCAACTGGAGCGACTAAAGGCAATGTGCGAGGAGGAATTGGTGGAGAACTTGACCGTGGAAGCGGCCTGTGATATCCTCAGCCTCGCGGACATCCACAGCGCTGAGCAGCTCAAAGCACACACCCTCGACTTCATAATGCTGTGAGTCTAAATTCCATGATGTATTTATTTTCTGCTGCCGTCATACTTTGACCATAACCTCCCCCCTCCCCCCCCGAAACCCCTTTCTGTTGCCAACATCGTAAAGTGTCGGAGGGGTTTCACGCGGCACCTCTTCGATCGAGATCCGTGCACAATTGCAACCCTGTGTTCGCATACTGCCAGGCTAAAAATTAGGAATTGTGGGTTCTTTGGAATGCTGTTGGTTCTCAGTTTGGAGGTGTGAACGACCAAATGTCGTTTTTCTTGTACATCATTAGGTTGCAGCTTGATATTTGCCAAATCACGTGCCCCGTTTCACGAACATATTTCATCATTCTCCCCCTCCCCCTTTTTGTAGAATCTCTAGCGCCTTGTCGAGAAAAAACCTGATGCAAGATACTTTCAGGGTTTCAGCGTATGGACCAGATACTGCAAATAATTTGGCAAAAATGTTTCTAGCCTCCACAGAGAATTGTCGTGTAGAGGCTTCGTGGCTGGACGCAGTGCTGTTTCCATCAGCCTGCCCCTACTTCTTAACCACCGCCAAGTTTGAAGAATGCCTCCCCACACAATACGCGTCCAATCTCATCAGGTTGGATGCAGAATGCTGTGGTTACAAATAATGCCTCACGGTTGTCTTTATTGGTACATGCTTTCGCTGTCTGTACCAATTCCGCGTGTCGTCCGATAAAGCTGAGCCAACGTGGCTTTGGAGCTACCCACGTCTGTTGGACTTGCGCGAGTTGCGTACTTGGGGTAGACATCTACAACGCCACTGACATTTTCACAGGCAGTTTTTTTTCTTATCCTGGCGGTGAGTTAAGTGGTAACTTGTTTTCGGTATTCCTGAGGGTGTTTTAGCAGCGCACACGTCATAATTGAATTGCTGTCAAATGCGCAATGAAATGGAATGCTTGAATGCTCACACATTGCTGGTAAATTTCCTTCAGGGGGTATTGTTCAGTAGCGCCTCCGTCGAGGGCAAACACTGACCTTTAAAAGCCTTGTTTTGCTAGAGAAAAAAAATGCTTTTCCGCTTTGTAGGAATCGTGCTTACTTAAATTAGGCTGAAATGATCGTGTGAATTGCATATTCTGTTGGTAGCGAAACCCAGTTTTTGGTATTTGCTTGGTTTCCGACCGCTACGGTCCTCCCACTATCGAGTCCCTTTTTAAATGGCGCGTTTTCTTTGCCCCCCCCCCCAAAATAACTTGATTCCTCTGTGCAAACGCAGTGGAACGTTAAACTCAATTGATTTCAACACTGTGGGCCTACTGCTGCGCAGCGCGTAATCCACAATTACGATTCGAGGCTACTTCCAAACTCGCCAAATTGTTCCATATAATTTTGCCTTCCATGTTCCAAAACGCCGATCATGAGCTTCAGGAACCCGGGCATTTTTTGATGTAAACTAGTTCACTCAAGGAGAATTTCCAAGACATGCGGCAACTCACAGGAGCAGTGATAAAGCCACGTTGGTTTATCACCGAGGTGTCGGGTGCTGTCGCTTGGTAATTTGATACAAATCGAAGCTCAATGCAATTCACCTGTCGGTAGTGAATGGCAGGCCATTTAAGTGGGTGTTATATGAGGTCAGGACGAAGAAGCTTGAATGCGTTAATGCGAAATGTTCCGACTTGAACTCCTAGTGAATCTTGTTGTTGTTAGTGGAAGAACACGCTAAATTATCCTCCATGTCCTTTTGGTGGATGCCCATTGGTGCATTTCTCGGCACGCTAATTTGTCACTTTCAACGGGCCTTTTTGCAATTTGGCTGATTTACTTATTGCCTTATTTTAGTACCTTGGCTGTGTGTTCTTTCCTTTTTCGCATTTGCTGCTGCCAGACGACAGACTGCGATTGCAACGGCTTTTTTTTTTAAATCTCCTGCCAAATGTCTCCGCAGTAGACAAGGAAATTCTTGCCTCAGTATTTCAGCGCATTTTCCGAGCGCCATCACACCGTGCATTCTCGTTTGTTACCTTTTCAGGCACGCTCAAGAGGTGTGCGAGTCTGAAGGCTACGAGCGCCTGGTTCGACAACGACCGCACCTCCTGAATGAATGCTTCCGCACGATAGCCTGCCAGCAGCTTCCCTTTCGTTGTTGGTCCTCCCGCAAACGCCCCCGACCCTCCTAGCCTCTGACGCCCCGCCCCCTCCAACTCCCCCTTATCACCACACTCAGTTGTCTCTCGAGATTTGGTTTTCATCCCAGTTCGTGTGCGCGTTGATGTTTGTTTCCGCCTCATTTTGACCTTTACCACCCAGCCAACGGTTTCACATGTGAACGTTCTTCAGTGCTTTGTTTGCTGCTGCCCTACCTTATGTAGTTCGGGGTTGCGTCATTTGTACATTACCGTTTCTCTCTCTCTCACCACTATATCGGCCATGAAGAGGTCTTTGTAATCGGTTTTACTGGTGGCTAATCTCATGTAGCACCACATTTTCGACACAAGTGGCCAGTAGGTCAGTTTTGTAGAAACCATTGGTCACTTAACATTGTATTGGATCAGACATTAGATGGGTGCTTGGATCGCCGAACACCGCTCGTCAAGACTTTCATTGCAGCCTCTTGATAACTAAGCAGAGACGTCTGGAAAACAGCCGTGGGACACCAAATGACTTGATTCTGTTGATTTTGTAACGGCATCCAAATATATGAACTGTGGCACAGTTTCCGCTTACCTGTTCAAATATTTGCGAAGAGTTTCACGTGCAAGTGCTGAGAGGGCGTCTGGCACTCTGTCGCGACCTTTATTAAGGTTATGGCTTAAGTAACACCAGCCGATGGACTTGGTGGAAGCGAAGAACAACAAAGACGGTCTGGCACTCCCAACTTTTTGTGTAGGTTTCCCTAAACCGTAAATATTACGACAATAAGAAAGCAGCAGAGGCAAAGTAGTATATATGTAACGCGCTTGGAAAGCGGGGACCTAAATAGGGAGATGACTGCTAGCCCGTCCCTCCTAGACAGCCACACCATCATGGTTAGCTACCAGGCACACGGTAGAAGAATAGCTGGAAGAGCCGGGTGTATTCCATACTACCACATACAAACTCAGAGGACTAGAGCTTAGAGAGAGTTGGAGTGGGGAAAGGATGGCCGCGAGGAGGGTTGGTGTTGCCCTCGGACTCACGGGCGTGCCTTGAGTAAGGAGGACAAAGAACAGGCCAGACCGGCGTGCCTGGGTCGAATGGCGCGCGTCTCATGTGGGGGACTTGAATAGTGGACCAAAAAAACCAGTGTAGTTAAACAAATCGTAAATCAAAGCTCACGTGTAAATGTTACATGTGGTGACCGATTGTGGTTTCTAGTGGTCGCCATTGCTCGTAAGCGGTACCTATCCCCTCTAAGAGCTGTGTATGGAATTACATAAGGGTACCAAACCGTCAAATGAAAGAATGAAAATAACTGTGATCATAATCTGAAAATGATCGAGTAACAAGTCTGGATTGAGTCAGACAACTCTGGTGGTGTTTGTGTGAGGAAACCTCCCGCTTCTCGGCCAGTTCTGTTCCCTTACGACTGGGTTATCCAGTCGGCTTCTGAGAAGTCTAGGTCAAATTTGTGAATCATTACTACGCCGGTGTGTTGTCTTGAGTTTGAAGGGCGTCGGTTGATAAATTCTTAAGAACTTCTCCCAGATGAGGCTATGAGTTTGCTTGAAGTGAACAAAATGGCCATTGCCTCAACTTTCCACCAAGTTCAAGGTGCATTTCCAGGTGCATAAAATATTTTCCGTGTGGGCTAATTTACGAGATTTTTTTTTAAATTTTTGTAAAGCTAACGAAAGACGTTAAAAGTGAGTCCACTTTGCCTGTGCGCCGCTTATAATTTGAGCAAATAACCGTCACTGCACATACACATCGGTAAAGCCAATCAAGCCATTTATTTTCGCTACTTTTATGTCATAGTTTATTCAAATGTACTTTAAAATTATGTCCTTTTGAAGTCAGGAAATCTAGTTCATATTATGGAAGGCCGTATAATTTAGTGCTATTACGATCCGCGCGCGTACTCATGACGTCCTTTTAAATGCCCCCTACGAAGGCTTGCAACAAGCCGATAGTTGTACAATTATGATGCACCTTGGCTAAATAGGACTTAGAAGTCAGAAAATCTTTGTAAAATAATCAAGACCAGGCAAATTGGAAGTAATGGGTGGCGACCGTTGCGAGAGAGAACCTCTTTGGATGTCCTGTGATGCTGAGGCAGGATTTGTGTCTGTGCTTATCAAATCTATTTAACACTAGTGTGAAGCGTTCTTAATTTTTATTTCTATGCCGGTACCACTACAGCTACTATCGCGAAACTGTAGATTCCACCGTCTCTGCACAACCGCGTACTGAAGTTGCTTCGACTTGAGTCGGCATTTAATCTGTCAGACTATCTGCCAAGTAATTGTGTCGCGAATCCGTCAACCGTAGTCCAACTTTCGCTCGATGGAGAATGCTTTGCGCTTTCTTCTTTCGCACCGGCGACGATGACAAGGCGGCAAAGCTTGCAATATTAAAGGCGCCGGCATTTAAAGTTCCCTGATCCCCCACAGACACGCACCACATCCCTGTCATGAAGAAGGCGAGGGGAAATTCGCGCACGCTACCCCGCTTCTCTTGCCTACCACGCACACGCGTGAAAGCGTTTGTTTATGATCTCGCAGTTATCTCCGGAACATTACGAGGAATTGGGTCAAGGCCTGCTATTGCTACCACTGCAGGAGCTTACTGCAAACTTTAACTTAACTAATTTCAGAACTCACAGCCTTGTTTAAACTAACTTACAGCCTTTTTAGTGTGAACGACTGGACATCTGTAACTCGCATTTTACTGTAGCTTATTTGGTGCTTGTTTTTTTCAGCCTGCTATTCCAGTGACTTTGTCTGAGACCTACATGGTCCAATTTTCTTACCCAGGAAGACACGTGGATGATTTAACCGAGTCTCCTGAATGCTATTCGTTGCAACCGTGTGACCAAACGCACCAATCAACTTGGTGTTTTGCACGCCCCTCAACCAAATTGGGTTGACACTGAATTAAGCCGAATGGTGGCTAGTGGTTCGGATGTTTACGCACGCATTAGTCTGGTTCCCAGTGTGGCATTCGTAGCAGCAAAGGCAACTGCCCTCTCCCTTGACAACGCCTTGCCCCGTTTCTAACCCCTGAAACCGTAAACTTCATTTCTGAGCCAGTGTCGTGCCAATTACAATACCTTACAATGAGATTTAATGGTAATGAGGCTACATTTTTTAAATAAGTGTAGTGGGGAAATTGTGTTCATAGTTGAAAGTAAATTTGTTGAGAGTCCACAAATTGTATTGATCGACCACTGGCATGCTTATCCCTTTCTCAAATACTGCCACTGGACCCTCCCTCTTCCCACTGAAAAAGTGGTCTGTTGTTGGCTTAAACCACGCCGGGACCACTGCGTCGAGTTGAGCCCGGTAACGTTACTCTGGGTTCCCGCGAAGATGAGAGAGATAAGAGATGACGAGGCACAACCGTTTACTAGACAACTGAACCTAGTTGTGTTGTGTTGGCTGATACGGTTGAGTGGACTAGTAAAAATGCAGACGTCTGAATGGTCATATGGGTGGAGAGGGTGGTAGTGGTGCGTACAGAGAGGTGAATGAGCAGGCGGTCCCAGTGACCGACGGGCACGCCGTGGAAAGGGGGGCGTGTGTGCGAGGCTGCGACGACGGGGTTACTGGACTTGAATTAACACGATTCACTACAGTTCCAACTTCAGGGGTTAGTAAAGGGTTTGTCCCCCTCGTAGTTGCTGGCCGCAACACATATTCGGCTTGGGCTTGGGATTATTTAACCCTACAGACGTCCCACTTTGCCTGAAGAGTGCGGCTAGGGGACCAAACTAGGGCCGATGATCTACGTTGGCAAGTAGCACGCAGCTCAAATAATTTATTGATGTAGCAGTTGCGTAATTGGACGAGGTAAAAATCGACATTTTATATAGGATCGATAAATATCGATCGCTGGACGAACATGGTGGCATGAAGTGCATTCACGAAAATCGATTCAATCGTGTTCACTCACGCTTGCTGTGATCGCTCGCTGCTCGCTACACGTCTATGTGGGAGATCCTTGTTCGGTTTATTATGGCCGACAGAATCAGTACCCGAATGACGAGTGAACGACGACAAAGAACTTTTGTTACTACGGCTCAATCCCGGAATCAGCCCTTTCTCAGGAGAAGCCGAAATTCGACAATGCTCGATTACATCATGGCGACAGCCTTTCACTAAAACCGTACTTAGGTACGCGCGTATCAATCATCAAAACTCCAGCATTTTTTAAAATCTTTTGAACCTTGGGTGATATTTTTGTTTTCGATTTGCACGTACTGCAAGTTATTTCGTGTTTAATGCAGGAATTCCAATTCTAAGTGAAATTTGGGAGGTTTTCCAATACTTTTTGCATAGGAGGATGGAAACCTCTCTAAGGAGTCAGTAACATTACGTGAAATGACACTACGTTACTGTTGCTGGATGTCAACCTTTACGAGTCTACTAACTTAACTCCAATGGTAGTTCTCCATCAGCTAATACAACTGCGTGATCAGCTTAGACATCGATGAGCATTTATACGTAAAGTTGTTGATCTGACAAAAATTAAAACAGGAGTTAGTGGTCTTTCTAGACGCTAGACGTAGGCGTAAAAGTACGTAGATGGCTTTAAATGTTAATTCATCTGGACACATATGACAACGGAACATAATCCTTCAATTAGCAAACTACAAAATCCGTTCGAATAAAACGATGTCAAGGTTTTAGTATGTAATTAAACTTGATTTAAAAAAGCTGAACTTAATTCCCTTTTAAATCCTCTTTATAAGTACAAACGTGTTTTTACAATGATAGTAACTGAAAATATCTTTATAGTGTGGATACTTCCTGTGCCCAAATCGAGAAAACTTTGTTTTGTTGACTTCGCTACTTCCAAATTCCAAGGTAGGTTCATTGTTCTTTCGAAGGCATTTTATAGGTTCGTGCTGTGGATAATTTGAAAACTTACATTACTCTTTCACTAGACCTGGTGTGAATCTTTTTTGTAGCTTCCTTGCGTGTCTTAAATTACCCCAGAAATCAATAACAGACCTCTGCGCATCTACGCACAACTACGA